TCTGACCTGATTTATTACAATACGATGGCAGGCGTGAATGGATGGGTGAAACTTCAAAAATAATAGAGGCACATAATGTTAAAATCCGAGTTATAGGCCTGTATTCTCATCGAGTTTTTGCAATCATAGACAGATTTTGTAAGATATTAGCAGAGATGCTATACAAAGTTCAATTTGCTATTGAAACTATATCCGGAAATTCTAAATTAATAAGGGCATAGGTTAAATATTTACCAAATGTTCTTGAATATCTGAATAATTATCCAACACGATTTATACGAGTGCCAGGATCAAAGAAATAGGATTAGCGCCTATAAAGGCAATTAGATTGGATAGGGTAGAGTCTAGACCATCTAAAAATACAAACATTCAGTTGGTAAAAATGAAGAAAAATTAAAAAAGAGAGATACCGTTCATTTTTTACTCGCTAATGCAGAATGGGAAGGAGGTATAGAATATCAAAGGCGTGCAACAGATGAAATTTAAAGCCCTTCTTTACATAAAATTCACAAAATTGTGATAACGAAAAATGAACCAATTTTATATTATTTAGATGGAGAATTCGCAACAACACATGGGGTTGTATGTGAAGAATTAATGCTAATTGATTTCAAAAACTTCAGTATCTGCCTCAAAGTATATTGGAGGAAAATACTTGTTCCAGGTCTGTTAATTTCGTTCGTATTATTAATAAAATAGCTAAAGCTGTTGCATATGCTGAGAAGTATGACGAAAAATGTCTTGGTAAAATTGGCCAAATAAATAATTTCGATATATATTTCTGGTCCTGTAAAAATGGAAAGCATCAGTGGAAATATCTATATCCATTAATAGCTACAAATTTGAATTGTATCCACTTTGCTTCCATCATACTGATGAGCGTCGCTATAGATATATTTTTGAAGATCTGTTAAGTAAGAAATTCCCACCATGTTTGGATAAATTTTTGGAAGGCTTGCGTTTGGATAGTTATAACAAGGAATTAAAATTGGCTTTTGAATACCAAGAATCCTAACATTATTCTGAGAATCTAATGTTCTATAGACAAGGGAGGATTGATTTGGATGAGCAGAGATGGAGAGATAAAAAAAAGCAGGATATATGTAAAAGAGAGAGTATAGAT